AAGTGATGTCATGCTGGACAAGAATCAGAGTCCGAATAACATTTTTTCATATTCGGACTCGAGTCCGAATAATCACTTCGTTAACTTTAAATAGTAAGTGGTCATGGCATGGAACATGTCATGATGTGGTGTGACCTGCAGACCCGCAAAAATACATAGATATCTAGATCTAGATTTCTAGATCTAGATCTAGATCTACTGTGGTGGTGTTTGACCCCCAAAGCAGGGCAATTTTACTTCTCTTGGCAACGACTACTTAGATCTATATCTAGATCTAGATTATAGATCTAGATCTAGAATCTAGATCTAGAAGTAGTTAGACTTAGAATAGTCCGATCCACTTGAAAATTGTATCATCTCTGAAATAAAGATCTAGATCTAGAATCTTGATCTAGTCTAGAAAAGAGTGTGCCAACCGACAACCGTGGAAGGAACTTGCGTCCTGTGTCGCACTGACGGAGGCGGAGGAGGGTGACTTAGATTAGAAGCCGTGTCGTGTAGGCCTAGATCTAGAATCTAGATCTACATAAAAAGTTAGAATCTAGATCTAGATAGATCTAGATCTAGAATATAGATCTAGTCTACATACAAAGGTAGATCCTAGAATCTAGAATCTAGGCCTTCATGCCGCATACCACTTTATTTTCAAGAAGTCAATCACTGGATCAGGTGTCAAACGTCGCACTGCCGTTTACAAACAACACACGATATGATTTATAACAAAACAAGGAAATCTGACTTCCGACACGGAAGCGGAAATAGCAAGCAGTCAACAGTGAGAAATTGTGTAAATAGATGCCCGTCATTCCAGGCAAAGGAAGAAATACTATTTGCACAATGTATAATTATAATCTAACTAAAAGGGAAGGAACTCTCGCGTTTTTTGTGTGTGTTTTTTCAAAGAGCGAATGTTGTAGTTGTCGAGGTTGTCACGAACGATTGACTGCGACTGCTGCACTTGACTGTCAGCTGATGACGGCTCGGAAAGAGACTACAAAATGCTCCGATGACAAAGGATCGAATGTAATGTCTACGTTACTAGATCTATAGGCTAACTTTATGTGTTGTAATTAATGGTCAAAAGAAGAAAAACCGACTTCGTATCACTAAGGACGCTAGTAATGGATGCCTCCTCCTATCTTTGACCATGATGATGATGCTGATGCTAGACTACTAGAAATCTAGATCTAGATTCTTTCTAGATCTAGACTCTGTCTACTTTGACTTGGGAACTTGGGGGGGGGGATTGTCAATAATTGACAATGAGATTTTGGTATTTTTCAAACTTTCACTCCCGTCTCAGGCTCAGGTATAGATTCTAGATCTAGCCATTTTTGGTTTATTTGAAAATTTGTGTCAATTTTAATTTTTCATGATTATTGAGTGTATATACTACATTGAGTCTGACTTTTATATCCAGGGACTCCATGATCTCAAATTAATTTTAAAAACAAAACAATTTGATGGCTTTTAATAGTGTCTCGCTACTAGTCTAGGCCTACTTGTGTTTGGTGGGAGGGGGAATGATGCCTTCTTGAGACAAAATAAAAATTTAGGAGGTTAGGGGGGGGGGGGGGGTGATGTCCCCATGTTTTTCCTCATAATTAATCTTTTGAAATAGGTAAAAAATGATAGAACATATGGGTCTAATTCTTTATTTCCATGTTGTGATTAATTGGATCTAAAATCTATGTGATCTGATCTGTTGAGACTTTGTTCGTTCATTCATGCGAAGCATTCGGCATTGAGTATCAAGAATCTACTCAGAGGCGAAAGTGTCGCTACGAAGCTAAGACAACAAGACAGAGTGCTATTCTACAGTTGCAACCAATGAGCTCCACAGGTTCAGAGGGGAGGGATGTTTGGTTATGTTGGCCTGTGTAGCCCAAAAAGAACACCGGGAGGGGGGGGTTAAAACTTACTTAGCCTATTAGAATAGCCCAATAAATAAGTGTAGTTAAGTACTTGTATACGAGATGTGAATAGCCCTTTAAATTTTTTGTTAAATAAGTAGAGGGTTTTACAGCGCTCGCAACTGCATATATAAGGTCTTATGATATGAGCGCCCAAATAGCAATAAAAGAACCCAATATTTCATAATAGTGTGTAAGTGACCCACCCTGTCCTGACTGACCTAAATTAGATTCTTTCAAAGAGTGGTAAAAAATTCAGGAGACAAAGGGTTAATGAAGGTTTTTGAACATTTTCAGATTATTTAGCACATCCTCCTCCAGAGTCATGGCCCAAGCTGTGGACGGCAGTAGTGCCTCCATCAGTCGACGTCTGTCGGGGGTCAAAGGTGATGCGGGAAAAGTGAATGACGTTTATGTGCATGGGCAGGTCAAGGACTGCAAGCGGCATGTCATTTTCTTTGGTGGAGACGTACAAGTGAGGTTTTCTCCTTTGATGTTTTTTGTATGTGTGTGCTCATGTAGTCTCTTCTGTGTACTCATTTCCTTCAGTGATGGATAGATGAACACACTGTCACATTGACAGATAGATGAACACACTGTCACATTGACAGATAGATGAACACACTGTCACATTGACAGATAGATGAACACACTGTC